GTTTTAAAAAAGTTAAGATAATCCCCACAAACGAACCAGTTTGGGTAAGGAGGATAAAAAGCCAATCCAATATTAGCGCTAGGCAATTTTAGAGATTTTGGTGGTTGAAGTTTGAAGGCTAAGTCATATATGTCCTCAGGTTTAACATAAGCAGTGATGTTTAAACGAGGAAGCATTTTAGTAAATTTCTCTTTTAAAATTTGGGCTACTTCAAAAATGGTTCGACTAAGGTTAGTTGGATCATAGACATTTTCAAAGTACTTTTGGAACGCCTGAATTTCCTTGATATGTGTGTGCTTACCTTTCTGGCTCAGATCCTACATAGATGCAAAAGTTTTTGTCAGATGTCGACTGAGAAAAATGGTGTCAAACATGTTCTTCGAATAAAAATCTTTCCATAAAATGTCAAAACCCTTCGAGCAGTATAAGGATGGTTGAAAAGGAACGGGGTTGAATTCTGCAAAGTTAACATGATAAGACATATGTTTTTCCAAGTCTGGGAAAAAGAACTCCATTCCTGTTATGAAAAGTTCACATTTCCTTCCAAAGATAGGTTCAAGAATCAGTTAACAAAGTCCAAATTATCGAGACACAAAATTTGGTTTGTAGGCAAGCAAGAAAATGTTGCTCTTCACGGGCATGATCCTCGAAACAATCATCCTAGAAAGTAAAAAGGCTCTCCATATGTCAACAATGTATGTATCTTCAGGTGAAATGTCAAAGAGGGATCTGGTAAACCACTAAGGACCATGAGTCCTATTGGAAAAAGGATCCATTGAAGGACTAAAGAGATGACTTTTAGAAAACATCATGACATACTTGGTAAAGCACTCCCTAAAGTTCTTTTAATCATCATCAGGAGTCAGTTGAAGCAGTCTAGTTCCTTTAACGATTTGATTCTGAATGCCAGGATCTTTGTCATCTACTGTTCCAAAACTAGTGAGAGATGGTTCGAATGTTGCATTGAGCCACAATTGGAAAATCCAATATGGGCCATCTAGCAGTAGGTTTGTGCCTTCTTTGTATCCTTTGAGTTTGGAGGTGGCAAATCCAAGGCTTTCATATAACTCAGTGAGAATTAACTCACTAAGGCGTATTCTTCAGCCAAAATGAAGTTGATTTGCTAAGGTGAGGAATCTTTAGGCAACTTGTAGAGATTTGCAGCAGAAGATGCACCTGAATATCCAGAGAGGAAGAAAAGCTATATGCTCGACATCAGATACTTCGTCTCCTTGAGCATGGTAAAGACTTGTGTATTTGGTGAAGGCAACATTTTCGACTTTGAAGTCAATGGTGTTTTCTTCTTGTTGGTAAGGATCAAAAGTTTCTCTAGTTGGTGGGAGTCCAGTAATGGCATCCATGTCGAAGAAAGTGGGAGTTATCATTCCACAAAGGAGATGGAAACAGTTATAAGTATTATCCCTAAAATATAACAAAGCCATCAACATAGGTTGGAAGTAACTAAAACCTATTTTCGACATTTGAATCAAGTCGAAAATACCTAAGTCTTTCCAATCTTGGGATTTTTTTCTTTTTGACTTTGGCTAACCAAGCAAGATATTGTTTATCTGCTACGGGATAAGACCTAAAAGGTATAAAGTTCTCAGTCACATAGTTAAATTGAAAGGGTTTTCTCTCAGTTATGGGAGCTGAGGAAGTTTCTTTCTAAATCTTTTCTACAGACAATTCCACTAGATTTTTATCAGGATTATTGTTTTTCTTTTTGGGAGGTTCAGCCTTATTAACAACGGATTTAGTATCATGATAAATTGGGAAAATTTACCTAATTTTTTCTAAACACCCAGAAGAATATAGGACCCATATATCCTAGGGTTTTATCAGCAGGGGTGAAAGAGATTATTACATGGGAAGCGTAGATAGCTTATTGTTCTACAAAAACATGAGAGTTGGAACAAGTTCTTGATTTCCAACAAGAAGCGATTTGGTGATATGATGAATTGGTTGAAAGGAAACATCAATGATGTTCTTCACTTCTTTATTCTTCACGTTCTTGCTGGATTTTCTACTTTTCTTGGTTGGTGTCATGGTTGAAAGATCAAATTGTTGGACGATTAAGGGTTTTTGAGAAAGAAAACTGAAAATGACGTAAAGTTTTTGAAAACCCAAAAGTCAAGAAGTTGGAAAGAGTATTTTTGAGGAAGAAGAAAGGTATTTATAGCTAGAATTTATTTAGTTTATATTTTCAAATTTTTTAGTTAATGGGACACGTGGTGGTTTTTAATAAATTAATAAAGAAGGTTGCTTGTTGAAAATCCACATTGGAAACCTACTTTTAGTAACGATGATGAAACTGGATCATGCACGTCTTGATTAGACGTTTTGAAAAAGGGAATCATGATTATTTCTGACGTCATGGCAGTTATTATTCATAAAGCATGTTTGTCAGTCGAAATACAGATGTAGTGCAAAAAAAAAACAGATATTTCTCCAAGTATATCAAAATACATATTTTTGGGGGGCAATTTGTTAACTGGGAATTTTGACTATTCGAATGTTGAGCTAAAATGACTACCCTAGAAGAAATTTGGTTCGAAAGGAGGTATGAATGAGGTCTTATGAAGATTTCAATAAACGAAAAGCTAATAAGAGTTTCATTTCGCTAAGTGTTGGCATAAGGTTTATTTTGTGAACCATTGGAACTTGTCTATTCCAAGTATTATCAGAATAGATACGTCGACCGTCATGTATATATTATTTGGCACTACGAAGACAAGAAGGTATTCGTATTTGAAAGTTTGATCTTATCCAAAGAGACACGTGAAAGCCTGAAAAGATTCAAAGAACATGCAATAACGAACGTGCCATTGTCTTAGTATTTGATCGTTAGGATCGAATTAGTATAAATAGGGGTGTTAGTAATAGAATTTGTATGTTCAAATCTTTGTACAAATTACTCCAAGTTACTCAATTTATCAGTGTTCGAGAAACAAGTTGTGAGAATGTACGTATGTTGCACCGATTTTACGTTTATTGCCATGCAACTTTAATTGAGTTTTATACGTTTCTTTTAAGTTTAAGTTGAAAACCTTTTACATACCAGTCTTTTCTTTAAATCATTACATTACTACATTCGACGTAACAATTGAAATCATTATTGTTTAAAAGATTAAGAATAATGTCGAAAGTATTCTTTATTTGCAAGAACAAAAGTTTGAATAAGAACACATGTTCTTAGGATCAATCTGGTCGATCCTGCAAATCACCAATCTTTTCTTCGATTTGGAAGATCAGTTGTTGTTTACCAAATTTCATCGTAAACACTTGGGACTGGGACATTTGTGATATCTCGAGTTCCACATGTGAGTGGGGTTGGGATGCATCAGGTACCTCCGGTGTGGCTTGGAACTGGGGTACCTCAGGTATGGCCTGATATTATGATGTCTCTCCTACCTCGGATACTTGCATAGGTGAACTAGTGTGTCTACGTGAAGATGGAGGCGAGGAGGCATGAGCAGAAGAACCTCGCATGTTGTGGGAAGACGAAGAAGAAGGCGGAGAAACATGGACCACATAACCTGGCGTTTCCTCCGTCACAACCTGTCCAGAGGTAGAATGAGCCTAGGATGCTTGACTTTTTTCCTTCTGAACCGAAGCATGTTGTGCAACTCTATTGTGTCTCAACTTGGATGGTCTGTCAGCCATAACTCCTGTAGAAGGACAAAATAAATGCTACACAATGACTCATGTTCAAATTAAAGGAAATAATACATGCAGACTTATATCTGAGATGCATCTCTGATTTTATTTGCACGTTGAAAAATTTCATAGATGCACCTCCAGAAATTCCTGAAACTTCATTCTTCGTCAATGGTGGATTACAGAGTCTTAGAACCTAAAAAAATACTCATTGATCGCAATAACAACCTAACTAAAATGTTCAACCATACTTCTAAGCTAACAAACACTTAAAATCTTTCAATTTTTCTAACCTAAAATTCAACTTTTAAATTGTTTTACATTAACTCAAAAAAGTTCAAAACAAACTTACAAAATCTCTTCAAAATCTGATTCTTGATAGTTGATGAAGCTTGAACATTGGTGTTTGATGATGCTTGATTGTTGTTTGATGGTTTTGTATGTGATTTCGCACAATGGGGTTGGATGGTGTTTTAAGAAAATGGGTTTTGAAAATGAGTATCTGAAAGTGAGGAAGGGGAAGAGATGAGGGCGTGTATTTGTAACAATTTTTTCAAAAATACAACTGCGGCTCCTTCCCGTAAAGGCATCTCCGGAATGTTTACGCGTGACATTTGGTCTTAAGATAACACATGCACTAAAGTTAGGGTGCTTCGAGCAATGCAACTACGGAAGTTTCCCATAAATGTATTTTCGGTTAATTCTTTTCACTGATTTAGGATCTTCTTTATCAATGTGAATACTTAGAATGCTTCCGGAGATACATTTTCGATATCTTAAAACATTTTAATATTTTTGTACGGTGCGCTAGAAAGATATGAAATGCATTAAAAGATTTCCCTAAAAAATACATAATTTACCATTTGATCCAATATTTCATATATTTAATATAAAATCCAGTATCCCATTGATATATAAAGCAGGTTGGCACAACAACTTTCAATTTTGATGATGACATGATCAAAAAAAGTGGTTGAGAAGGATATAGGTTGTGAAGAGATACACGTTGAGCTTGGCTCTCACCGGTATCATTCAATTTCATTACATTGATTAGGAGCATGGTCCCTCACCAACATTTGGTATATCCGAATCCCTTTTATTTCTATTCCCTCAGCAGTCAGCAGTCGGCACTCATATCATATAGGAGTACAACTAGAAAACAAATACAATCTGTCAAAAAAATACAGAATAAATAAGTATATGCTAATTCTGTTAAGAATATGACATAAGTGTTATTAAGTCCACAATATTGTTTTGTCTCTCTATCCATATATCTCTTACTCTTTCTCTATAAAGCTAGTATTTGGTTAGATTTTTTTTTTTTTTTGTAAGAGTTGGTCTGAATGGTGGTTCCATTCAGCCTTTTGGATAATATGAGAACAGAAGAAGAAAAAGCATGGTTTTTGGTAGAGAGTGAAGATGACGATGACCAGTGCTCATCTTCAAGTACATCGTCAATCGGGAAGGACAGCGATGTCCCAAAATGCGGTGACATAGACGATGAGAATGAGGCTCAGAGTGCGTATAAATATGATGAACCATTCTATATGATGGACTCACTCGAACACCTTCCCATCAGGTTCTCTAACTAACTTTCTCAGATCACACATTCTTAGTGTTCTGTGTGTTTAGATAAGTTCACATTAAAATTATAGTGTAATATTATTTAGTTTAAGAATGAGTTTGAATTGAAGTTGTTTATGTTTGTATGTTTTTACTCAGAAACTAATCTAACTTTATTTTGTGAAATCCATTGATAGGAAGGGAATCTCAAAGTTCTATGATGGCAAGTCTAAGTCATTCATGAGCTTAGCAAATGCTGTTTCTGCACCATCCGTTAAAGATATTGCAAAGCCAGAGAATGCATACACAAGGCGGCGTAGAAATCTGATGGCCTTCAATCATGTTTGGGAGAAGAATAGAAATTTCCTTTTGAGAAGTAATAATGGTGGAATTTGTAAGAGAACATTAAGCTTGAATCGAAGCACCGTGGCTCTTGCTTCTGCAATGAACTGTGATAGTAGTAGTTGTTGTTCCAGCGAGGAATCAACTTCAAGTTCAAATCCTAGGTCTCCTCCACCTATTCGAGGAAATCAAGTGTCTAGAGCAAGTTCCAGTCCAAGCTCTTCTATTCACTCTCACTGACTGATATTCAACAGAAGTGCAATTGTAATGAATTCCTCCCTGAGAACTGAGGCTGAGGAACTATCACAATGAACTAATACCTCAACTATTACTGGATTTCTTTGGTTGAATATGCTTGGGTTCTTTCAATTTATCTCAAAGTGAGTTGGTAATTGCACAAGAAACTATCGTTAAATTTTTTATTTTAGGGAGCATGTCATAAGATACGACAGAATGTATGTGAGCACTAACTAAATAATCGCTGATTCTTAATGTCACTGTAATTGTTTTTTCTTGTTTGTATTTGGTCATCTTCAGAACTTTAAGAAATCTAGTCAAACGTTTATGGAGGTTTGAAATGGATAATATCATAGACAACTAATTTCTGGATACAGTCAATAAAGCTATCTTGAGATTTGAGTTGCTCAAATTTTTTGAAGATAAAACAATGTCAAGGCAATAAAGTTTGTTAATATCATACTCAATGTGAAATTGTACAGTTTTGTTGAATTTCTAACCTAACCAGTCCATCGGAAATTAGAGTAATGGTATCTCGACCAATTCAATTTCGGACAAGCATTGTGGATAATGGTAATGCCAGAGTCAACATCACAACCAAAAAAGTGTGACTGGCTGTCCGTCATCCAATTGTGGCCAATAAATTGTGATTCACAATTGAAACAGACCGTATCCAAAGTCATCAAAGGTTACACTTCCAAGTTATCAAACAAAATTTACCACCAGCAAGGCACAGCTGAAGGTTTGAAAAGTTGCAATAATATATTTAGTTGGAAAATTTTGTATCTCAAATGAAAGAAATTTGTTATATACATCCACGAATAATATGTTTAGTTTCTTTAGCCAAAGGCTGTCTGTTTGCAGTTGCATTCCTACAAATCATACAACTAAAAGGCCAGGGATACATTTACCTAAGATTAGCTGCATAATAATAGAAGCAGCGAGTGAACCTCCTAGACTGAGTAATCTATTTTCGGATAATTACAAATTAATGGTTAAACAATGTAATATGGGGGCAAATAGAATCAACCCATGAGAACCATTTTCTCCATCTCCTTTGGTAATTAAATCATGATTAGCAAACGAAGTGATGAGAGCAGCAAAATATGAGGATAAGCTGTTGATGTGAAGGGAAACATTTATGGCTGGATTGAGTAGCCATATTTCACATGGTAAATCAATGAGGGAAACAATCTTGTAATTATAAATCCATTATTACTCATGCAAAACTAGAAACTGGGCACAGGGATATTCACACAAGAATGATGGGAGCTCAATATCATCAGTATTCACAGCAGGGATCGCCATATCTATGTCTTCAGCAGAAAAAGGAATACTGCACCAAACATTAATGTTTAAGACCAAGTCTTAGAGATGAAACAAATGTAAACCCAATATATTATATGTCCTGAGAAACACTTTACGAAACATCCATAAAAAATCCTAGGTGTCAGTGGCAAAATCAAATCAAGCCACTAGATTTAGTTCTCTTTCCGAAACACATACAAAGAAAATGGTAGAAATTTATATTAAAAAATGAAGTCAACTTTGCTTTAGGTTTTGTTTTGGAGTTTGGAAGGAAAGGGAGGGGGGGACTTGGTGGTAAAAGGGAAGGAGAAGAGAGAGTAGCCCCCAACATTGTATGAGGGTCTATTTTTCTTCATATGAATAAAACCTTCATTATGGGAGAACTCAATCTGTTGGAGAAAGACTTCAAACAGTTTGGAATAAATTTCCAAATTTTTCTGTTTATAATAGTCTCAAACCAAAAACATAATATTATTTGTTAGTATTCTCCTGTCATCCTCTCTCCAGAATAACTATTTAACTCTTCCAAACAGGGTGAAGGATTCCCCTTCCTCCATTCCCCTCTAAAGCTCTCCCCTTCCTTTCTCTATTAACTTCCAAACAAAGCCTTAAAGTATGGCAATCAAAACACTAATGCTAAAATTAAAAGAAACTGAAAAGAATCAGATGGGGGAAAGAAGAGTACCTCATGTCGTCATCCATCAGGAACGAATTTGAGGTCAAACTCTGATTGTCTTTGCTCACAATTTCCCTCATTTCACCAACTACCTGTCCATCATATACAGTTCAAAACTAAATGGAACCATCATCACAATAGTATTTCAAATAAACTTATAATATCACTTGCCTCGTTGGATACACTCTGGGTTCCATACTTGTCATCCCAGTACATAGTACTAATTCGATAGATTTGCCTCACAGTTAATGCCTGTTAAAGAATTGAGGTAGAAACATGTTAGAGGAAAAAGACAATATCTTGACAATATAAGAGAAAATAAATAGGTAAAAAGATCACTATCGTGCCTAAGGACCAAAGATGCCACCCCCTCTCCCCAAATCTCAGTACAACAGTTCCTCCATTATTCTTAAGGTAGGCACAAGAGGAACTACAAATGAAACTCCCTTAATTTAACTAATAAATGAAATATATGTCTGTCTAAATATTGACATTAACATACAGGTTTTATACCACAAACTTTTCCCACACAACTTGCAATGAATTTTCACTGTGACCATGTTATAAAGCCAAAAAAAATAGTTCAATTTCTCGGACATCTTCATGATACGGTGGACATTAAAACTATTTGACATGATAAAGATGTTCAGTATAGATGTGAGATACAAATGATACTGCAACAGATTATATGATTCGAGGACAACATACCGGACAAAGATCCTGCCTAATTTCTTCCAAAGATTTCTTCCTCTTCTGATGTATTACCTGAATTATTCAAATAAGCAAAAGCATAAATATGAGATAGTGGTGTTAATTGAGATAATCAAAAGTACAACTAAAGTATTGTTTATACCAGAAACCCAACAGCTTGTCTTATATAATTCAGCTCATGCCAGGATGTACCTGCATACTACATTTCAGAATTACCTGGTTAAACAACTAAAGACTATTCTCAATTAGTGAGGTCAATTACATGGATCGCCACACACAACTTTATATTGCTAGAAGCACAACTAAAGCTTAAAATTAAAATCATGAATAATAGCATTAGCAAGCTTAGCTTACCTCTTCATTTGCATTAACTATCCATTTCTCCAGTTCTGCAAGACCAGACTTTACATATTCACCATTTGAGAAAGTACAACATTCACGCCGCAAAAGAAGACTGAAAGAGATAATTGGAAGATTAAAATTATACAGAGAATTAGACTAACATAGAATCAACTGAATAAACCAACAGAGGATGTTAGAGACTTGAGGCCACAAAAACCTTGTCTGATAATTATGGGCTTTTACTTTTACCTGTTGAACAGCGTCATATTGATAAAGGAAAAGACCTGTGTAACTAGCTTGCGGATGAAGAAGGATGGTATCTGAAGATGCAGTTTCAGGTAAGAAAACATGAGGAAAAAAAGAAATTAGATTTTGCAATGGACTGCACAATTTTAGCCTACTGCTGATTTACATTGTTCTTAAGAAATCGAAGCTATGTTAGCAAAACTTTCAATAAGTAACACTACAACTAAAAATACAGGAAACCATTGTATAATCATTGAGCCAACAGTCTTGTGACACCATCTTTTGAGGTAAATATTGAGAAATGGAGTTGAAGGATATCACAAAAGATGCGAACAGCCACTCCCAAAATATAACACTTCTTAGAATATTTGGTGCAAGGTGGTTCTTTTCAGGGGTTTCTCTTAAAAATATGTTCAGAGATTGGCCGCTAATTTTCATTGTTTTTTCTACCTTGCTCTTGTTTTCTTTGCATTTGGGAGGTTCCTTTGTAACCCAGACTCTTTGCAGCTACTTTTTTTTTGTCTTAATTAATTTCTTCTTTTACATTGTAAAGAGCCGATTCCAGTCCAAGCACATTATACAAGGAAATTGACCAATAAAAAGGGATGAACACCGATAAAACAAAGTAACAATCAGGTGATTAAAACAATGAAGAACTTACATTATTTGCACATAATTGGTTCAAGAGTGAATTCAAAAAATTTATGATGTTGTCCCATTGGCCGCCAAGTGGTTGTTGAGGAAGCCCCCCAGGAGACCTAGATGATTTTCCACTTTGTGCCCGTCCTGTTTTGGGTGCCTAACCAGTATCATAACAGAAGTTTCAAACTTTGTAAATTTCATTTAAAAACTGTGTGACCAAAGCTTAGACACCAACAAACTAAACAGGTACAACAGTTTAGCTAAAAGGATCAATTGAGACAATCATATTCTAAATTAAACAGTGTTTAGAAAAGGGCACTTGAGGCAAAATAACAGAAAAGGGTCGTTGAGAGATCATCATTTTTTTTGGTTACGAGAGATCATCATTATTAGAACAATGAATATAAAATCTACTAATTTAATGACTTGGTAATTATATTAGTAGACCCATTAAAAGACCAAAATTTCCAAAACATTGAAATCACAAACAAAAATAACGTTATGGGTAAAATGCATTCCAAAATGAGGGTTGTCCATTCTCTAGATAAATCAAAAGCCTCTCTCCCTGTCTCAACCATTCTTAATATTTATATTTCCTACTAAATGACCCTAAGGTTTCACAGCATTCATTACATAGCTACCACAAGAAAATAAAGTAAAATAAAGAAATGAAAGCTTATTGATTCCTTGTGCATGCAATTAAAACAACTTTTCAATAATAAGCACAGCTGTTTCTTGGAACTCAAATCCATAGCATTCCACAGCAAACATGTTACTATGAAACTAAACCCAAACTTAAGTAACCAAATCAAGTTGAATATCTGGCATACAATGGTGCTAACCAACATAAGCTGATTGATGTTGAGTGCTGCTATAAAGCTTACAGAACAAAACCTAAAGCAAGGCAAACTAGTTCAGTGCATGATAGACTTCTTTAGTTTGCAACTTCAATGAATGCATACTTTCCATCACAAAACAAGTGTTTAACAACTACTACTAGATAATATAGGAACCATGAATAGTGATGAGACTCATTAGGAGAAAGGCCCAAATGGATAGGGGGAGTTATGAGTTGGCAACTTGCAAGTTAGTTACAGATAGTGGAAGGATTTACATGTGAGAGAGAGTGTGAGGTGCGTGAGAGGGAGTATATTCAATATCCTTTTGTACTAGAACCTTCGGGTTCGGGTTGGGCAAAGGAAGGATTTCTTCTTCCTTTGAGGAGCTTAGTTCTAAGATTATAGGGAATTTATTCTCTGTGATAGTTCTTGTTTCTCATTAATAATATTTTTCTCTTCTCTCTTAAATTGGGTTCCTAACAAATATTGGCACCTTGACACACATTGTGACTTGAAAATTTAGTCACAAATTACATGAATTCACAAAAATTAACCAGGAGTAAGAAAGCCCACCTGAATACATAATGCAAGAAGTGGAGAAAGTTCCTTTTTCAAATTATCACGTATTAGGCCAAAAATCTTCTCTACACAAGCAGTTAGTTGTTGTTTAAAAAGCATAGCTGGATATCTTGCCTCCACATGTGATATACCATCATTATATCCAATTAACTTCAATGGAGACTTCATTGCCTGGAAATGGCATCAAACTAAATAAAGAGGAAGATAAAGAAACCAGGGACTGGGAGACCCACGGGTCATTACTACTGCAATAACATGTAAAATTTGCATAAATAATAACAAAATTACACTTTTTGTTACAAAAGTAGAGGACACAAATTTTAAGACTTTTTGTCATTGTTAAATCATGCTTTTACTCTCTTTTTTAATTGTTGTTTCTATTTATGCCTTGATTGGTAATTTTGTTAAAAGGTTTCTTAGTATCATTATTATTGTGAACATATGGCCGTATCTGTACTTATTAGGCTTATATTTCATAATTATGTGTAATCTTTTTATTAAGCCCATTAATCAGCCTCGTTAGCTATAGCATATTCTATATGAGCATATTAGTGTATGTTTACACAATTAATATATTTATTTGAAAATATTTTCTTACACTTAAATAATAAAAAATGAAAAAAGCAACTAATTGCGCCAAAACCTAGAAAAATAACGAGTATAAATAATTGAATAATCCAAAAAGTGTTGTTATTCATATATTGTCTCAAATAATAAGTAATTAAAAATATATGTTCTTCTCCACTTAGTTCATTATTGAGCTTTTCTCTTGGCAGCAATAACAATTTGCGTAATTTGCACAAGCTTGTTAATAGACAAACCTTTGGGCAAAACCAATTTATTAATATAATTTCAAAATTCACATGCGTCGAGAATGTCATAATAATGATTGGCCTTCATCGTGTGGAGATAATAAAATAGTGCAAACATACAACTTGATCACTCACTAGCCCAAATTTCTGCACAGAATCCATATAGTATGAACAGTATTGAAAAGGAAATTAGCATATAAAGAGCATCTTCGTACATAACTTCAACAATAACATTGTAGGAGGACATTTTACGATTGGAAAATGATTGTTAGGTTTGAGTAGTGTCCGTGATCAGAGCTGTTTAGAAAAAATTAAGTGGGGTTCAGTTTGTTGTCCAGTGCCCCCACAGAGGTGGTGATGTGTGTATATAATTTAGGGCAGTAGCATCAGTCATGATTTTAATATCTCTGTCTTACTTTTGTCCTTGTAATTTTTTATTTTGGGTTTGAGTACTTACCTATTTCAAAAAATTTGGATTTTAGACATGATATTGAACACTTAGGAGCTAATTCTCGGCAGGCTCGGTTGGAGATAAACAACATATGAGGAATTGAGGATGTCGTGTTATCTTTTTTTTTATTTGTAAAGTACATATTTTTTATGACATACCATACTTAGGAATTTAAATTTTCTAACTATTAAGGTTTATGTAGAAGTTTCTTATTTAAGCTTTTGTTTGTGGGTGATAGATATCTTATATGTTCATTATGTAAACATTCTTCAAAGATAAGTTCAATGAATTAATGCACGTGAATAAGAGGACCGTGTACTATGTGCCTCAGGGAGTGACTTGTTCTGCAATAAATTGGTATTTAAAGAAGTGTTTTGCACCTCTACCCTATCCATTTGTCATATCAGCGTTCACCATTGACTATCTAATATTCTACCAACCTCTACACTAATAAATGGGATTGAGTAACTTTTGTAAGACTTAAACCTCTAAATCGCTTCATATTTGTCTCAGTACCATTGTTTTTGTCTTAATAGCTTCAATGATTTGCTTAGAAAACAGTAAGAACAATAAACAGTTGTTTGTTGTACAAATATTTGAAAGGAAAAGAAAAAAATGAAAATAGGTGACTTTTTTTGTAAATATACATGGGGAAAAATAGTGGAAAACAAATTTGGTTTTCTCAAACCACACAGATTGTTACTCTCCCTTTCTAGCATGGTCAACCTCAAACTTCTTCCGGATATATGTCAAATTTGTTGGTTCAGCTGAAGCTCTTTCCATTTTGGTTCTACATTCCCTATATCTAATGCCACGTAAAAAAAAGTCCTTTAATTGCAAGTTGCAACAGTTTTTCTGACTAACACTTTGGGTTTACTATGAATGAGGGAAATGTGTTACAATAGTATGTTATCTATTAAGCTCTTTGGTATATGAGAATTTCTTAAAGCATCCTATGAGAATCTCTTGGTATATGGAAAAACACCTTATAAAATTCCTAAAATACCCTTCAAATTCCGGAAATACATTTCCGGACGCACCTTATACACATACAATTCATTTGTTTTTGAACTACGCCCCAATTTTACGACTAAATTTATTCCGGAAAAACATTTCCGGAATGTCTCCGGAAATGCATTTCCCAAACCTGCTCAAACCGTTGATACAAATGGACAAAATCTTTTAAACTCTTTTCTTTAAGAGTAATATTATGTTCTTAATTCTGTTATGTTCTTGCTCAGAAAAAATTGTTATGTAATAATGTTAATCAGCAATCACTAATGTTCAAGCACCTATAGCTGTTAGTTTATACTATGACAGCAATTTCATCAAATGGAAAAAGTTCAAACCTTATATAGAGATTCAATATGCTATCAAAGATTTGAAGAAATTGAGTGATGAGCAATTCTCAAATCCATCTAGAGATTTAGTGCAATGGAGCTATGCTCTACTGTGACGCAATTCTCGGATTGTAGAAAAAGCTATCGTGACTGTAAATCGCATTGGAATCGTAGCATGGCGCTAGCTACGTCAAAGTGAAAGAAATAACAATGGAAGTACTGAACCAACTGACAGTGATGTCATGTTCAAAGTGGGAGTGATACAGTAGGTTCCGGAAATGCATTTCCGGAATAAATTTAGTCGTAAAAATAAGGCGTAACGCAAAAACGAATAAATTATATGTGTATGAGGTGTGTCCGGAAATGCATTTCCGGAATCTGAAGGTATTTGCCCTAGAAGGTTATGAGGTGCATTAAGAAATTCCCTTGATATATTTGCACTGACTGATCTAGTGGCAAGCCCATGTTGCAATGAGGGTGGGCCCATATCTAATTGCCCCCTCAGTTTTAAAAGATAGTACATAATACCTTCTTTTTTTTTAAAATAGGTTGCCCCCAATTTTAATATTGAACCCAATGATTGCCCCTGTTTCTATATATTGTGAATTCCGCCTACCCTGTTTTTTTAATCAGTATATTAAAATATTATTATTTTAATATTTATGACTTTTTCTTCATGTGCATAGTAATAAAATAATTGTTAATATTTTTTAAATAGATTGCCTCCACTACTTCAGGATCATGGCTCCACCATTTCCCGGATCAAAACTCCCTTCATCGATTCTTCTACCTTGCTCAAAGGATTTCTTTTCTCAAAAACTCTGGCAAAAACTCTTGAGTAAGATTTCTTTTCTCAAAACAATAATTTGCTCTTGAAAATTACTAGCCAAAATATTGTATATTGTTTTCCACTGAAACTGAAATAAAACTAACAGGAGAAAATAAACTCGAGTCAATTTGAAATTTTAAAGCTATCTATCTGATATTGTGCTCATGAAACAATACCAAAAAAATAACTTGGCCTCAAATTTCCAGTCAAAATATCATGGTTTTTCAACTTTTATACTAGGCAATGTTTATCATTATTACCAAGGAAGCTACAACACTCAATTTAACAAGGATTATAATGCAAATGCTTAGACCTAGTCAACAACTATCACAGTGAAGCAAAAAAAATCCTAATGCATACATTAAAAAAATCCAACATCAATATTCAGGAGTATAACTTACATGCCCCATCCGGCTGGTCAAGCCAGATGATCCAGCATAACGTTGAGCAGTGGTAGTTAAAAAACCATTTGAACGGACATTTCTCTGTAAAAGGCACACAAGTGCGGATGTATTGGACAGCCAATATGGCAAGACAGTGTCATCATCTCTAACCTGAAGCAGATACCAACAAAAACAAATAAATCTCAAAAATTATAAGAGCATCCTAAAATTGAGAGAGTACAGCACTATAAATGAACAATTGTTTCCTATGCGCCAAAACACTTTCATAATCAAATTCTAAGGAGCATAATAGAATAAAAAGCGAGGTGTGAAAAATACGAGCAAATCACTTACTTTTATGACTTCATTAATTCCATCAATTATGTAATCAAATATGGCCGTGCGCTCAGACTCAAATGCATGCCAATGAAGAAGACATTTGTATATGATACTAGCTGCCACAGGCTTACTCATTTTGAAACCCAAATCCTCTTTGATACACCTAGTGAGGAATTCATAGTTATCCTGGAAAATACAGCAACTGTTAGCCAATTGAGCGACGAAAAATCATTTTGTATTACTAGATCATTAATAATGTGTACCATGTCTAAATACCTATACAAAATACTAACCAAATCAATCCCTAAAGGTGATATATTAGAGTCAAATAAATAAGGAAAGTAAGTAATAAAATAATAAATACATACAAATCTGTCAAATCCTGAATAATATTTTAAACATATCTCTCAACACACACCCTCAAGTTGAAGCATATACACTACAAGCAACCCAAGGAACCTATAAAGATTTTATGAAGATATCAGCAAGCTGATTCCTAGAACAAACATATATTTTGAGGATGTTAGAGAAAGTTTTTTCTCTAAAAATGTGACAATTGAAATCTCTGAGTTTAGAAGATTTGATTGGAGGAGATATAAAAAGATTTGAATGTGGGACCCACAACTGTAAGTGGTCCGAAAGGAACCAGAAAGGTGAGTCTACCAGAACCTACGCCGGCCACATCAGAGGTCTGGAGGGTGGCGCTGAACAGCAGTGGAAACATGTGTGATGGCACATGCGATAGCGGTATACGGAGGCGCTTCAGGGACTGAACTACTCCAGAGAATCTGATAGTGGGATCGTAATATTGTCAAATGCGGCTTTTGAAATTTCTCTGATGGCAATGACTTTAAATCCTTAACTATTTTGAGACTAGACGAAAGTGTCTGTTGGACATCCAACGTCCAGACTGAAAATAAACGATTGTTAGCCTTGACGGTGGCTGAACTCAAAGACAAAAGAACTGTGATTTCAAACCTTGTTCAGAAAAGCAAAAACTATTAATTTATTTCCAACCGTGAGGGAACTCCACACTAGAACAGTGTAGAGAAAGGAATCAAACCAAGCTCAAGATACCAACTTAGAATTGTGGTTGGGTCTAACACGTCCTTACAAAACTGCCTTGTAAGTTGAAGATTGTCTCCACTTATAAACATATATTGAGACCATATTCTATTCTATGTGAGACTCTTGTAACAGTTATTATCATGATTCATTTCTTGATTTCCCGGTTTATTTAAGATTGAGAGTCTTATGTCCTTGTAAAAGGGATTAGCGTTCAGTATGTTGTATCAAGTTAGTAATTATCAATAATATTCCAAGTCTATAAATTCTCTCGTGTATTTATCTAAATCCTACAAGTTCAACACATAAAGATGAAAACTAAACAGACAAACAAAATTGGCAGAAAATGTCAAAAACTAAAAGCGTAGGATTTAGAAAAAGTGAAACAAGAGGGATGCCTGGTGCCTTTCTGCTGTTAATTTAGATCGACGAGAATCTGACAAGCCACGTGTAAAAGAGGGCATAAGTTTAGTGGGTGTAGGTGATTCCTGCAACAAATTATAGCAAATGAAAAATAGTTTAATTACATATAGTTCCCATTTTCAACATAGGAAGCCAAGAAGAAAGCATCTTACATATACTGGGTTTTGCTCAGTGTTGAGGGCTATTTTCCTCGAGAATTTCTGCTTCAGAAAAAAAATATATAAACTAAACAAGTTTTTAAGTAATAAAACTAAATATATTGCTATGCAATAACTTTGATATTTTCACTTTTCACCACACCAAAAGCTTATCAATCTTATATCTATTTGGGAATTGGAGCACTAAGATACAAATTACTACCTCAGTTTTTCATTATAAGTAGTTTTGACATTTTCAAACGTATTAAGAAATGTAATTATTGTTGTATGAAAAAAAGATATTAAAGGGGACTTTACAAAATTTGTATGGGAAAGATAAATTTAAAGAATTGATAGAAGAGAGGATAATAAATGCTTAAAGGAATATTAGGAAAATTAACATTAATGATTTACTGGTATGGATTAATATATTGGTATTGTAAAACGACTCATAATTTGATACAAAGTTTTTTCTCAAAGCGACTTATAATAAAAAAAGGAGGGAGTAATAAGGAATAATGCAAAATAAAGTTTTAATGAACATTTGTTGAAGAGAATGTCAATATGCAAGAGGAAACTTACTTCTGATGATGACTTTGTAAAACTAGGATGATTACTCTTAGGAGATACAGTTGAGGCTTTCTGACGAAGCACTTGATTTTCATTCTCCAAACTCAATAGCTTTTCTTCAAGACTGCATAAAAATACATGTAAGAAGATTGGCAATAACAAACAAAAACACTAGCTATTTAAGAAAATCAAAGCACGTGAACCATCAAAATTTATAACAGTTCAAGTAGATGCAATACAATCAAAAGAGACAAACCTGGCTGGCACTGAGAAACTAAATCAATTTATAAAATAGAACTGAGCAGAAAAAATGTACATTTTCATATTTTGTGCAAGTTGAGAACTCTTCTGTTCAAACTCCCTCATTTTCTGAATGGTTTCATTATGGTCTTTTTGGGCATTCACAAGCTCGTGCTCCAAAGCTGTGCTCTTCTTTTCCAAGGCATCCATAGAAGCCTATAAATATCAAACCAGAAATATAACACACCTCGATTTTAATAGAGGAAACAAGCAAACATGAACCTGACGTAGGGAATGATAAACATCTCCAAACATAAATTTCTTCTAATGCAACACTAACAAGTTTCCAAGCATGTCATCTGTATGTTATAAATTATCTATCGAATATTCTCTGGCCGTGTAAAACAGATCATGCCATTTAGAGTCTCTCTACCAACAACCTCATATGCAACTTCTTTAGGATATCCTATACACCCACAACCACAACCATACTTCATAGGTTCCAAATTATATAACATGATTCTGCATAAATATAATTTCATAAAATTAAAAGGATAAGTTTATAAAGTAGAACTCCAGATTTTAAACCACAAAGAACAAAATCCCACCCTGTAATTTGCATGACAAAATTAGTTGAAATTTATAAACCATCAAAACTAAACTAACTCGTAGAAACACAGCCATTCAGCATTACTCAAAGTACCTTCATCAGAGCATTTTCCTTTCGCACTTCATTCATTACAACTAGCTCTCTTTCTAAAGCAGATTTTTCCTTTTCTGATAATTGCAATTGATTTTGCAAAATTGCATTCTTATTCGACTCATTAATAGTTGCCAATTTAGCTCCATCTAATTCACAAATCAGAGCTTCCAATGTCTTTTGAAACTTGGAAATCTCAACTTGCTTAGCCTCTTCATTAGACACCTGAAATAATGCAGAATACATTATAACAAGTTCCACGACTCTTTATCTCAAAAAAAAAAGTTCCATGAGTCTTACCTACATAAATCAAACTATTATTTTTTTAACATAATAAAAAATAACTGATGGGTATTGTTGGCCCTCTGTTCTAAAACTTACACGGCAGAGAAATTAAGTAGTAGAAAAAATTAAAAGTATAACCAATAACCACAGCAATATATGAAAATCATGCATGAGGACAATTATTTGTATGAGAAATTGTTATTTAATTATAAAGAAGGAACGCCAGAAATCCTCAGAACATCAAGAAAAAAATCTGGACAAATAATAGTCCTGCAAAAATAGTCTGCGATAGATCTGTTTTTGCATATCTGAAATACCGATCCTGAAATAGACAATGTACTGATCAGCGAAGAGTATAACTCTAACGCAAACAATTTTTATAGGTAAAAGATTCAACGTTGACAATATGAGCATACCTTCCAAAAATAAACTACAACATCGCATTACGACAATCTCCTATTTACGAGACTAAAATTGTAATATGAATATGTTTAGCAATACCCTTAATTTTTTTTCAAGATGCAAACGCCATGTGAGCTCTTCCAATTGTTTTTCAAGTTTAGTCTTGGCTAAACGCAAGGCGCCAGCTTCACTAGCCTCCTAAAATAGATAATTAAAAATGAAAATAAGTTAGAACAACTGTTGATGCATTTCCCCCTTTCAAAACAAGAGAAAGGTAAAAAGACCATACTTGTTTAAGTCTACGAAGCTGTTTTTTTGCTTGTTTACAGCGCCAAAGGCATTGTATTGCCACAATTGAAAACTGATGTTGTTTGAAAGCAGACCGAACCTTGCACATCCTCCAATACGCCTATATGTGAATGTTACATTTAAGATAAAATAACATATCAGTATCCACCATTCCAACCAAAATGTGAAGCAATTGAAAGTGAGGTATAATTTATCATAGTCGCGCCTATATGCGTGAGAAATGAAACTTAAAAAACTTAGACTTGAAAGTTTCACATGATCAATCATAATTGAGTGCCAAAGCATAAGAATTCAAAGCACTTTCCACAATAAGTAAAATAAATAAATTTATTAAAATGATGACAATGAAGAGGTCAGTGCTTCGACATTTTAAAGGTCACACCAACACCATAATACATTCATTTCGTGATAAAACACCTGAATAATAGTAGCAGCTTTGTGTTCTTTTCTGTGCAAAAATCTTTGGCGAGTTGTGAAACCGCGGACATTTGATTGTATAATGATAGCAGAAGAGTACAGTGTAATGTAAACACGCCTCATCAGACCCATACGAATATATTTCTGAATGGAGATAGCTGCTTCAGTCTCCCGTTTAAAAGCATATATCCTTCTTGCAATACATCCTACAAAAACAAGAAACAATAAAGACCAGACAATCATTGGTCAAAGTGGACACTTCAATATTTTACATGTGATACATCTATGTAACACGTATAACTGAGTTCAAAAGGTTCTGAAAAGGCTTTACAGATACAAATCAAGTACTATCCAAAGCAGAAAAGAAGCTATGTATTGTCATATTCCTGACAAAAGAATCTCAAAAAGAAGCTGAAGTGCTACCAAAACATATATATTGATAACAAGTTTTAAAAAGCAAATTATGGAGAACTATATTATTAAACATCAACAACACTGACCCCTGCAGCATGCTTGAAGAGAAACTGCAGCGACTCGAGTTGAGATGAAATCTCTGTGAGCAATAAATGTATGCAGCCGACGCTGAATACATCTTGCAGCATTGTCCAAAACTTCAGCTCGCCTAGAATCTAAAATACCGATTTGACCAGCCCTGAGAAACACTTTAGTCCTACCCAGCTGAATAATAAGAAGATAAATCATAAATATAACTATCACAAAGCAATTTGTACTATCACATTCCAAATTTGTTCGGGAACAGCAGCCGCACCACACACGTGGTTCATAAGAAACACACCTGGAAATTCTCAAGTTTTAGCTTTTGCAATATTTTCTGAGTTGTAGCTCTATCATCATAACTGTCAACAAAAATGTTTGAATCAACATTAATGAGAACTGAAAGCGCTGAGCTATTTATTATACAGTAAATAAGAAGCTGGTATCGTTGTACTGACATCGTTGTAGGTAAGATGCAGATACAGTAAATTCAAGATAATGCAATCCATGCTACAAGAGAAAAAAAATAAACTAACTAGAACATTTTCCTTTAGTAAACGAAAAGGAAAATTGCATTTCAAATAAGCAGATGTAAAGCCTACTTGCTCTGTATCTTTCTCACATGGCTCAGCAAAATCAAACCACCAATCAGATTGCAAGAATCCTAACCAATAGCCCAATACATTATGACTAGATCAAGCTAGCTATTTCAACTAGATAATAGGAGAGCTGGCCCATTACCTTGCCCAGTTACCTCATCTTAGAATTTGGGTTAGACCTAACTCAACCCTTATAAAACTGGTTTGTAAGGTGAAGACTATTTTGTCTTATAGAATCCTTTTCAGGGTCCAATACGGGATTCTTACCACACACTCACACTTGGGACTGGACTTTTGAAGTATAACCCAATATCAGGTAACCCAACGAATTTTGGATAGGCTCTCATACCATCTTAGAATTTTTGTTGAGCCTAACTCAACCCTTACAACCATTTTGTAAGGTGAGGGTTGCCTCCTCTTATAAAATTATTTTCAGACTTTATTTCATCCAAATACGAAACACTTAACAACTCTTATAACTAATTTTGGTTTTTTATAACAACCAAATGAACAGGCTAGTGTAGTAAACCAGAAACCAGTGCAAGGTTTTAACTGTTTTATGGAATAAATCAAACTCTCCCTCCCAAAACCACTTAAAAACCAAAAGCAAATACAAGGGTAGTATGGACGGTAGACACTGTATCCCTAAACCCACTGAGATACTTGTACAGTTCCTCCGACTTGAGGACTTGACTTAACAACCCTTAACAAAAAACAATCTTTATTCTTTAATATACATAGTGTTATAGACTTCACAATATTTTGATGATCTATGTGTAATGTAAACCTTGGTCAAATTACAACTGGCTCAAATTTGGTCAAGCCTTTGAGCCTTCAATCTCACCCTTTTATTGCTAAACTTTCATAAACATTAATCAATCCAACCAACTACAACAACCAAGCCTTATCTCACTAAGTGGATTCGGCTACATGGATCAACTTTCGCCATAATGTTCTATCAAGGACCATGCTTTTATCCAAATCGTTAATCTCGAGATCTGTCTTAATAACCTCTCTTATAATCTTTCTAGGTCTTCCTCTTCCTCTAAAATCTACATGTCTTTTCTCTACATGCCCAAACAATCTAAGTATATTTTCCACCATCTTCTACGTTAATCAATCCACCAAAAGACAAATACTTTTACCACTAGATAATGTGTTTCAAGATTTAAAATCATAATCCTATAAATAATATCTGCAGGAGCATTATTACCAGGAATCTTATTCCTTTCGACCTGTTTGGTAAGTAATGTAGTTACCCAAGAATATATTTAAATGAATTAATTTAAAAAATAAATAAATATATTAAAATGATGCGAGAGTGAGAAAAGTTATGGTGGGTTATCTCTTATTCCCATAGAAATGAAAGATTACTACTCTGTCATGGGAATAAAAAATGAGAAAAGTAGGTGTAAATTATATTCTAAAGAATAAAAAGTGCTTGGGCGTAATTTGTTAAGATTTGAAACAAACGTGGGAATTTATGATTCCCGAGATTACATTCCTATCCTAGGAATAAGTTTGCAACCCATAAACTGTTTTTAGTTTTAGTATATTCACCTTCCATCTGTAAACTCAGGAGTTATTAATCCAAAGCGATCTACAAACTCTGAGTAAGTCCTTCGAGTTGGGTAACCTGCCAGACTTATCCGAACAGCCTCAAGTACACCCTAAATAAAATTTAGTCCAGGCAAATAAATGTTCAATAAAAATGTGAATCTGCTAGGGAGAATATCTCGGTGAAACATAATCTTTATGTCCAAATTTTTTACAAGGAAAGTCAATAAATCACACAGCATGTTTTGTGTGCATGTAAACATGTCGGTCAGACCATATCAATTTATATTCAAAAAAATAAAGAAATTAACAACAGGAAATATAAACCAATAAATCAAATTTTGAAAGCCATTAGAAAAAATCTTCCAAATTACTTCATCAAATGATAAAACCATAAAAGTAACATACTATTTGTAAAGTAATTAGCAAAAAACAGTCAGGGAAACAACTTATAATGACTGACAATTTAAGTCTTTCAAAGAATGATAACAGTAAAGGAGCTAAAATATCTAAATTACTGACCCCGCAACGTAATTGGTGTAAGACACTTGTGTTCTCAAACTTTTGTGGTAAATTCAAGGAATTTGGCTTGACGCATCGAATGTAATGAGGCTCTGTTGTCTTGAGTGTTTCCATAAGTGCTTGAAGTTGTTGCTGTGATCCCCATCCAACAAAGACAAGAAACAGAAAATATCAGCACCATGAATTCTTATTCTTTAATCTCTTATTCAAATTTTCTTAATTTTAATAACACACAAAAGGTAATAGAAATGTACACCTTAAATCTGGAAGCCACAGAAGAAAACTTGTAGGATGACCTTGAAGATTCCTCCGGTAAAGAAGGAAAAAGACCAGACACAAAAGAGCATTTTGAAGAAGATAATACATTACAATGCTCTAAAACCACATAGTCGCGATTTTTGTCTATAAATGTGTCTGTATGGTATGTGACCTGCATAAAAATATCGGAAGATGTTACATTATGAAATAGATATACTTTGCCAAACAAGAGTAAGTATGGCAACACTAAATCACCTTTCCAGCATAATGAGAAACAGTAAAATCTGTTTCTGAAAACTTCTCCTTTCCAAACCTAGTGTGGCACAAGAAGTGCTGAAACAACTTGGTTGAGAATGTTTTGTGCGTCGATTTTGGAAACATGCTGAAAGAAAATAAATTCAAGACTGAATATAATTTGGAAGAGTGCAATGTAGAAATACACCATTTCATAAAGCAAATAAATTGTACCAAGCTTCGTCTAACAGGGCAATGATACCAATGGGCTTCTGCAAAAAGAATGCAACCAGAAACCAATAAGAAACTTAAATCCAGAGAAAAAAAGCAATGATCCTCATCGGTATGATGCACAAACTCAGAACTTCACTTCCAAACGAAGCTACAAGATTTTTTTAAATGATATTGGTCAAGTAAACTCTACATATGCCGGTTTTACTAGCTTATTGTTTGAAATTTGAAAGAACCTAATCCAATACTTATCCAAAGCCCACCATTCCGAGGAAGTCATATAAATTGAGAGAAATTGAAACAGTAGATATAAAACACAGACTAAACAAAGGTTTTATGCCGTTTATCTCAGATAGTGTCCCGTAGCTCCGACCCCCTAAAATGCTATAGTGGTATAGCTGATAGCGGGATAGCCGCTATTGCAAAGACTAAAAATTAGTGTGCACAGTAAACATTAAAACTCAAAAATAGAAATGGACAAAAAATTAAAGAGACTTTCATACTTAATAATTAAAGAACCTAAAATCCAGAGAAATAAAACTTAAACAGAGAAGAAGAAATTAACAGAACTGAAGTAAAAGTAGGAACAACATAAGCAAAAACAAAACAGAACGAAGAACATAACAATTGTTTGTGAGCAACAACATGATACATTGAAGAACTTAATATTATTCTTAAAAGGGTCCGAATTGACATTTATACCCTTAAAAAAGACAGGTTTAAAAAAGGGTTGAGGAATTCACCCTGAAACCCTAATAGCAGCTGTTATAGCAGTTTGGGTCTGCAACAGTGATCGCTACAAACGCGATTGCTGACAGAGGCTCGCGGGCCTAAAGTATTGCACAGCACCCTACCACCGCTACATAATTCTGCTATAGCACGGTATTGACAACTTAGCAAACATTTTGATGCTTTGTTGTATGGCTAAGCAGACACTGATCTGATTTATATCCTCCTTTTTCAATTTCAGTAGTCGTGACCTACTGTAATAAATTGACAAAAACTCATAATTTGCTAACAATGCTCCAGCCAATAATTCGGGTACATATATTCTAATATGCATAAGACAAGAAATCTGTACGAAATGCATACTAGAAACGTGAATTTAGAAAACCTCCAACTATAGAGAAGAAATTAAGTAAAAACAACCTTTTCAATTAAATCTAAAACATCTTGGTTGTCTATAAACTCAATGTAACTCCATTTAATTTCTTCTTTTCTATACTCTGCTTGCTCCATCTTGAATACATGCTGGAAAAATGACAAGAGACAAAGAAGCTATAAGAAGATAACAAAGTGAAAACAATATCAAGATTCAGATCAAAACACCAGGGAACTAACATACATAACATAATTCCATACCTCATTAAAGTGTTGTTGAAGCTTTTCATTTGCAAAATTGATGCAGAATTGCTCAAAACTGTTGAAGAAAATGTTTCCGAGTTGAGAAAGGAAATTAAATTACCATAACATAGTTACCAGTTTAAAACTAAAACCACCACCAAAGCTTTTCCCCACTTAGTGGGGTCAGCTACATAGATCAAACAGCATCACATCATGCTATCATAAACCAAGCTTAGTGACATATCATTTAAATCCATATCCTTCTTCATGTTTTGATCCACAATTTTCCTCAGTCTTCCTTATCAAGGCTTACAAGTCTTCTCTACACATATGCAAACCACCTAATACCTTTTTTTGAAAAATAAGTGTTACCCCAATTTTCTCTCATGCATTCATTCCAAATAATATATTGTTATTATGGGAACATGAAGACTCATGCATTATAATATTCTCACTTTTCTAAGACTTCAACACTAAATTTATTTTCTTGTTGGCTCTTCACCACCAAGCTAAGCATTATATAACATAGTAGGTGTTATAGTTGTAAACTAAGATTTTACATTAAGCTTGAGAGGGGATTTATATCACATTACACCAAAAGTACTTCTTTACTTCATACACCCTGTTTGAATCCTAAAATTGACCTCCCTCTATATTCTCATCATTTTCTATAATGGATCCTAGGGCCTCAAACTGTATGACCAGTGATATGGCTATATGATCCAATTTTTGCCTCTAAGCTAGAACTAGTGGCTTCCTGCCAAACTTACATAGTTAGATTCCATTACCCCATTTTACATCTACTAATTCAAAATAACAACAAGGGGTGATGAGGTTGGCTTAATGATTGAGGGTTCTATCACCACCCAGAGCACAACACTACTACATACTAACATACTAGCATTTGTCTCTTAAAAATTTCAAAATAACAGCTACAGATAAATAAAATCTAATAATAGAATACAAAAAAATATAAAAATAGTATTAATCAAGTGTCAGAGTGTTGTTTTTTCAATAACTGAAAGTACTATAACTTACACAAACACTAGAGAAAAGGAAAGTAGAAATACATGCCTGACCCAAGCACCATGATATTCTAATACGTCAAATACACTGCTAAGTCAGCGGTCCACATAACCAAAAGAAAATTCCATCTCCTAGAGAAAAAAGTATGTATTTGAAAATATCTTACCTGTTATCCTTAAAAGACTCAAAACCATATATATCCAATATTCCAATTTGCATCCTGGAATTGATATCTTGCCCAACCGCTTTATTAATCTTATCAACAAGCCTGTTAGAACAACAAAAATACAGAATTCTCATCCCAATTTGTGCTTGATAAAAAATAATATTAAGTTCAGCAATTTGACATTGATAATGAGCATACCAATCAAACAAACGGGCATAAACGGTTTTCGCCAAGACATCCCTGCCAGCAACAGCGGCATTACAATCAAGAGCTTTGACAATATTTCCTTCGCGGGTTTGTATTGAACGAGTACATAATGTTGCTTGCAGTAGGTTCAGATCACACCTAACGAGAGAAAAATAGTAGTTTATTAGGTTCACCAAAGGATGAAAACTTCTGTGAAATTATGATCAGTCATTAAATATCAAGGAGAAAAAACCAAACATCCAACACATTTAGGTATTTTTATCATCTGTACAATCATACAAAAATATTAGGCCCTACCTAATCGCACAAAATCCAATATCTCAAGGGACATCAGAAACCAATGCTAAATTATCTAAAGCTTGATTTCTTTCATGGTCATATCTGATTCCAAATACCTAATACAACATATCGTAGAAAAGAAAATATACTCGATAATAGTTGGAAAATGAAATGGTATTTGATATACATCCTTATAACTTTTTAGTTATCTATCTATCTAGATATATAGAGAGAGAGAGATAACTAATAAGGTCTTCGTCATATTCTATATTTGCTCTCCTCTCATAAGCTTCAACCAGCGCCTGCAAACCATCAACTGGATTAGTCACTAATTGACATTGTCACTAATACACAACTCTTCATTAAAAGCAATGTCAGATATTTTCTCAAGGTAGTGAATCACGGTGCCGTCTATATTGTTATCTATATCTATCTATTTCTATAATATAGATAACGAATAAGGTCTCCAGCCTTATTTTCCCGCCAAAAATCCCTGTGGTAATACTGTAATATAATCCTCCACGTAAGCCCTACATGCTATGACATTTGCATTTTGCAACTATATCCTATATAGAGGGTATTCAGAAACATGAAATAATATCTCGAGGGTTTTTCTTTGATTTTGCGCATTTGGCTCTCCTACTTTAATATTGTTGGAGTATGTCACACAACTCTGCCACAACAAAGAAATCACAGTTCTAGCTAAAAGGATATGATACCATGTCAAAAAATACTGGTTTCTTATTTGATCATATATTCCTCCATAAATAAACTCGTTAACCACTATTATTTACAAATTGATTCAGGCTTTGAATTTAATGGAATTCTAAATATATATGACTAGTAGATTGATTCCTGTTCCTAGTTTATTTTAATATAATAGGAAATAAATAACGGCAGATACCTTATAAACAACAAAACATCCAAATTCAAATATGATTTATACAAAGTAAACAATGCTCTAAAAATAACATAAATTGCCTACTTGAAAAGATTAGCAACCATCTGCAAATGAAATATTGATTTCTCATCCTTTATTATTGACGAGTCGTGCTCTTTCCCAGGAGAAAATTCAACATTTCCAAGATGCAAAATTGCAGCTAAGGTGCAAAATATGGCTTCCTGTTAATATGGAGAAAGGATAACTATAAGGTAAGGTTGTAAACAAATTCATGATAGCATACAATAAAGCAAGAAATGCACTAGTGGCTGACATCATTACACCTGATCCTCATGATTAATACCAACAATATCCATTGATCTTCTCGTCTTTATGTATTCTTCGGCACTGCTAACACCATCTAATTCATAAACTTTACTTTGATTCAAATAGTGGAAGTGGCCTGGATGTCCTAACTTATACTTCTCTGCATCCTAAAATTGAGGCATTCCAATTAAGTACAACAACTAGTACATTGACCGTAACAAAATAAGAACATAATACTGAATTTGCAAAATATAGCATTATGATGCAAAACTAACACCAAAATATATAATCAAATATATACTTCACCAGAGATCAATTACCCTTTCAGATGCACACAACTGATAAAAGCAGTGATAATTTCTTTCAGGATCTGTAGTCTGCACTACTCGTGATCTTTCCAATAAGTAAGTTCTAATTGCAGCACCAGATATTTTACCCTTTGAATCAAACTGAATTTCAACGAACTTCCCAAAACGGCTGCAACGGAACAAAAATAGGAATAACATGGGTTTATCACCGATAACAATTTCAGTTGAAGGGTATTTTACATGCTACACTTAAAAAAATGGTTTCCATTAAGATGTAAAATGTGTTAATTCATAGCACGGAGAGGCTGATAAATCCATTGGATATCACTTCAGAAAAACTATAATTATTTAATAAAACAAGAAAAAAACTATATAGTATTTTTCAGTTCCACCTACTTAAAAATCAAACTTCAACACATATTCCTACCTTCAAAACTTGAACTCAATCCCTAATACATACATACAAAGGACATTTGTTTTCTATAACATCCCATAATTCTCTTCTAATTTACATAATTTTAGATTATAAAGAGTACAGTCACTAACCATTATACTAGCAAACTTGGACACCTAAAATGGCTGGCAGCCCATAAGATTTTCTTTTTATTGTTACATTATAGTGTTTTCATATAACCTTAATTGAACAGGATCTAATCTATAGGCTCGTACTATTGCATCCTTGGTTTTAAAGGAGACAGGAACAAGCCATGTTTCCATAACATTCAAATCTGGTCCTAAGTGGTACTGATAGAGACAAGATTGAGATTGTGACTATCATAGATATAGTAATGTGGTTAGCAAGCTTTAGATGAATAAAAAGGTAAGACCGGATCATAAGTTAGACAAAAGACTCGATATTATTTTTCTTATAATCTAAGAGGTGAGCAAGAAAGAAAGAAAAAAAACTAGAGATTGATAAAATATGTAAGCTAAAAAAAGTTGAGTTAACCTTGAATTGTCATTCCTGACAGTCCTTGCATTGCCAAATGCCTCTAACAGCGGATTCGACTGAATCAATAAAAAAAAGTGAAATTAGCACCCCATATTGATGCGTAAATAAAAATTCAAAGTGAATTAAACCCCTAGCAATGATAGCTTACCTCAAGAACTTTTTGTTCAACTGATCTATCATCACAAACAGCACGCCCACCAACAAAGGTAAGATACTGCATAATCAATTTTGTTGTTTCAGTTTTCCCAGCACCACTTTCACCACTGACCAAAATAGATTGGCTATGACCTTCATTCATCATTGCTCTAAATCATGACCAACAGAAACTTACAAACTTGAAACATGAAATGGCGAGTAGTAAATACAACAAAATAAAGCTTAAATACAATGTAAACGGGAACACCAAAACCAAACACACGCCAACCTGTACGATGCATCAGCAACGGCGAATACATGTGGACTGAGTTCACCAAATGGAGCTCCCTTATACTGCTCCATCATGTGGTTATTGTACAAATGAGGAAGCTTTGTGAATGGATTAACAGCAATTAAAATGCTCCCCGTATATGTCTAACAAAGCCAAAAAAAAGTCAGAAAAAAATAACAAAATAGCACACAAGGCATTTTGTGGAGTGTCATAAACAGTGCATGCAAAAAAATGAACATAATAAATTCTATACTATTTGGTAAATTAGGTCAATTTCATTGTATGAAATTACCGAAAAGGAGAAGAAAGTGTTTATAGTTATTAATTATGCACTAGTTTTGGCATTTGTAATGCACCCATGAATGTGATAACCCAATGTGTTCATAAATAAAAGCATTAATTTCCTAAACAAAGAGCGACAATAAATCATGTTTTCTTGTCATATTATATGATGATCGAGAGAAATGGTGGCAGAGAGCAATACTTCCATACTAGAACAAGATTTTCCATAAAATAACAGTATTTACATGAGTAAGCTATCATTTCACTAATGCACCAATCCCTAACTACAAACTCGGCTCACCAAACACGAATTCACATTTCCAAGATTCATATAGTGCAATAACATAATTCTAGACTCACGTGCATTTCAACAGTTAAAGTAGAAGAATAAACTAGTAGAGGCTTAACTGGCCATGTATATACTAAAAACCCCAACACTAAACACTTACATATATGTCATTAAGCATGTATCTTCTCCGAATATTGTACAACACTCCCGGTTCATTCAAATAAGCCAGCCTCGTCATATCTTCGACTCCCCCGTGTTCATCTTCATCCGCATCCCTGGGAAACAGTTTCTCCGGAGCAACAACAACAACAACCTGCTATCATTCAATCGAATCAGTAAAAATCAGTCGCAAACGCAAGCATCGTAGATAAAGCAGAAACAGAATAATCACCTTGTTGCCGGAATCCGTTTCAACTCGAACTTGCTTATCGGAAGATTCGATTACTTCAGCAGGTAGCCAAGCAAAGTCCCTATCGGGAACCCAAACCTTGGAGCCCTTGCGCAAACTCATGATGAATTGGTGAGACTGGAGAAGAGAGCGAGAAGAAAAATGGTTGAAAAGTGAAACCCTAGGTTTATGTGTGGTGGAAGAGATGTTAGAGAGAGAGGGGAAGAAAACAGAATAGAGAGAGAGATGGAGTGAGAGTTACGGGTTGAAGTGTTTCCAATGAAATTCGGGGTTCCCGCCCTAACGGGTACAACTATGAGTCAAAAAAAGGGGAAACTGCTCAATATTTATATCCTATTCGACACGTCACCATTGTTCTTTTCCTTTTCTGTTTTCCTTTACGGCTTCACTCCACCGTAACCATTTTTGTTTTTTCGGAATCTTTACAGGACGATTAACACTTAATTGTATTTTTAAAACAAAATTTTTTTTATGAATTCTTTAAATAATATTTATTAGAAAGACCTTAATTATTAATAAAGAAGTTAGTTATTTACAATAAGAAAATCTATAGTTTTTATAGATAGTTCCTAGCTTTGATACGTGGTTTGCTTATATGTAAGAATTATGTTTGTCTCAACTTTTAACTATTATTTTTATTTTTTTTTCTTTTAAGTGGTTATGACGGTTACAATCATCATCTTGTTGTTTAATTTTTTCTCAAATTCTTATTATTTCTGATTCTTTTCTCAAATCTCTATTCTTCCTCTTTCTGATTCTTATTCCCTTTTCAAACTTTTCCGCTGCAATATTCTAAATCTTTATGATTCCTATTATTTTCTCAAATCCATATTCTTCATCTTTTTCATTTCCCTTTTTTTCATCATCTTCGTCAATTGTAATTTCTTAGCGGCGGGCGTTTTCGTTGGCTAGTGGTGGTCAGAGTGAAACGCAAACGACGAACAATACACTGACTCTCGTCAGATTTTCGAGGTTCAGTTTTCACTTTATTGTTTTACATTCATTTCAAAATCTTCATATCCTTCTGTTTTCCCCTTTTCTAATTCTGTAACCGTTCATTCATTATGATTCGTTTTGATTCATGGTACAGTTTGCATGTTCACATATGCAAGTCTCAACTTTTGGCGTCGAAGAATTAAAGGGTGGCGTTGGTGAAATTAGAACTAGATTATAGTAATGAGCAGTTGTTGCAGTTTGAGATCTGATTCCATCATCATGGAAACCGAAATGAGTAGTAGCAGTACTAGAGGAAGAGGTTTTGGTACCATTTTTGGTTACACTATTAAGCCATGTCATTCCAGGCTTCAACTTTCTGGTTTGTCTACTATTCCTCGCAACTTTGATTTCTCAGTTATTCCAATTTTGATTATGATTTTATAGCTCTTAATGAATAAAACTAAAATGCACATGATGAATATATTAAGAATCGTATCTCCATTATTCCAATTTTGATAGATGATGTGGATATTTGAGAAATACTACTACGAACCCTTTTTTAATATATTGTTTTGTTATTAGAATGATATATCCTTACAAAGTTATGTTTTGATAGATGTTGAAGTCTCATTGAGTGTATGAAAGACATCAAAGGATCGAAAATTGAAAATAATAAATTTTGTGTAATTACCACAATGTCGATGAGAAGGTATAGGCTCCAGTTCTTATATTTGATTAATTTGTTGCAACATTGATCAATTTTTTAAAAAACTTATCGATGTTGCTAGTGTTTCGTGTTACCAGTCCAATAGCGATAGATACAGTGTTGATGCGTCTGGTGGAGATGCCTCCATTGAGTTGGTTACGCATTACAGACATGTAATTGTTGCTATTGTTGACCTAATTTTTATTTACGGTGGTTTACGTGGTGGTAAGTCAAATCTAAGGTATGCTCACTTTGGAACGTATCATGAAAAATTATATTGCAGATTTTAGTAATTATTATATTTGTTCAAAATAACTTTTGACGGTGTATGTATGTCTATATCAGGAGACACATGATGGATGAAATGGGCAACGTAAGTTAGAGTTGTTATGCATCTTGCAGAAGCTCTAAAATACTACACAAGCAATGGGAATGCCATCTATCACGAACTCAACAAAACCTTACGATCAAACTTGATATCATATTTGTTCTGGACTGGTCTAATGACTAGAATTGGTCAAATCCGCTTCTATCCTTAGCACAGCCCAACAATAATGGCTCAGCATTTTGGTCGACCACGCCCCGAGCAGAGAACCAGATATGCCCGACAGTCGCGCCTAACCCGGCCAATAGTTGTGTCCCGTCAGCCCGACACGAGTCGAGCAAACAACCAGGAAACATTACAAATGACCATTTGCATGTAACCTGCCTCCTTAATACCAACGGCTAGTTACGAGCATTATCCGCCCGTTTTGACCAACTCCTGGGAGTTACCTATTTTTGCAGACCCTCATATCTAGGCCCAAAAATCTGGACCAATGGCCAAGCACCATGAGCCATATATAAACCCTCACTCATGTGAGAGTCAGGTATCAAATATACATTATTCATCACTAAAACCCTAACACTTTGTTTGTATCTCTTTTGCTCCCACACTTACTTGATTGTTAGAGTGCCCTGCAGGTACAACCCCCATTTTTCCTCCTCAACTTTCCAGCCCGTTCGAAGATCATCACCTGACCACCTTGCAGGTTCTAATCAACCGGTAAGATCAGTGGCACCGTCTGTAGGAATTTATCTTCCCTATCTTCTGTTCCCCATAATCTAAAGACCGAAGATCCTCCTCGTCCATTAATCATGGTCGACCATGATTATCACCACCTATCTAGAAAGACTATACTCTCCCCAGCGTATAAGACCGACAAAAGTCAAGAGCATCCTCACCTCGAGGATAACCTCGGCTTCTACGACAGCCAGACTACGTCCCTATATTCAATTGATGCCCAACACGACAACCATCAGTTCTTGAACAAGCGGCATCCCAAGAACCCTACCGAGGAACTGCCAGAGATTCTGCAACCAGTTCTCATTCCTCATAATGCCGACCCAGCCATTGCAGCATTGCTCGCTACCATCAACCAGACTAACACCCTTATTCTGCAGTAGAGTGAAAAGATAGGGGACTGGAGAAGAAGCATTCAAACTCTCTTCCTCAGAGACACCGATGACATGATTCCCCCAACATATCGCCACCTAGGCGTAGCCATCCTCCAAGAAGGGAGAAGCACGACAATTTTTTCCCAAGAAACACAGTCGCACACCTCCAAAGAAAGATCAAAGCTTTCCATCTTCCAAGAAGAAGAAGAAGAGCGACTGCCAAGTTGACTACAGCCGATCATCGTCGCCCAAACCAAGACAGCACCGAAGGAGCCCTTCCCCCCGATGAGACAACGATTCAGTCCACAAAAGTTGACCTAATACATTGCATCATACATATACAAGTGAAGGCACACGAATTCAAGGGCTAGAGGCTGCAGAATCATCAAGAACAAAACTTGAAAAAAGGTGGAAAAGTGCAAAACTGAAATCGTCCTTGGAGGCCAATTCAGAAGCAAAACTCCACACTAATCCATTGCTGGGCAATCATTGAAGCGAAACCAATCCAAAACCAGTCTCCATACGCGCCCAGAAGCTTTGTAAGTGTCTCAAAAAATCACCTTTTGTTCGAAATCATAACCCCATATTCTTGCACTTTTTGACAAATCTTTGGTATATTCATGATGCTCATTCAATTTCTGAAATTTTGGCATTGTTTGATTTCATTTATATGAGTTGTAGCCCTGTAACTGAACCTAGGGTTTCGTAGCTTGTTTTTTGGGGAATTTTATTTACAGGCAAAATTGATGTCATTGATGGACATAGACGTGATCAGGGGAGGTAGACGAGCACAACCATAGTCCTGGATTTGATTTTCATGGCCTGGAATGGAATTTAGGACACACATACGAATTTAGTTGCGGACATAAATCCGCAGGTAAATATTCAGGGTTGAACGAGGAAGACGAAGACGTGTCCCCCTCTTAGTGGCTGGTTCAAATATTCGCGCTTTATTTTTTTGTTTCTGGCATATTATTGTTTTTTTCCATATTATAATTGTTGTCCACTATGTTAACAACTAAAGCGCGTTGGTTGAGTGGTGGAAGCGTTGTCCAATGATCAACAGGACCTGGGTTCGAATCACAGGTCCCTCATGCATTTGTTCTAATTTTTCTACAGGCTATTCAGTGTGAACCCAAGCATGTGATGCATTATACTCCCTCAAATCTCAAAGCGCCAGATGGCCCCAGGCCAGATCTGGTGGTCCAGATGTGATGTCCACCATATGCCCTAGTCAAAATGCCACACTGGAATCAGAAAGTCAATACAGGCCAATTCAATTGGGCCTTGGAAATTGCTAAGCAAGCCCCCCTAATCAGGCCCAAACCCTAATTCTTTCTATTTTATTTTTATTATTTCTTTTAATTAATTATTGTTATTATTTTATTATTTAATCACTAACCAATTAAAACTTTTTCTTAATAAAATTAAAACCAAAAAATATTTTGTTTATTAAATTAATATTCAGTATTTTATTTTTGTTAATAAATAATTAATTTAATCAATTTAGTTTTAATTATGAATAAATTTTAATATATTTTGCAATAATTAAAATTAACTTAGACAATTAGGTTTTTATTAACTTTGATTAATTTATTTTTATTTCTTTAAATATCAAAAATCCAAAAAATATTTATTTTCATTAATTCATTCATTTAGCTTATTAATTTAATAATTAACTTAGCTTAATTTCTTTTTAATTCAAAAATAAACAAAAAAATCTTTTCTTTAATAATCAAAGGGTCAAAACCCTAGAACTCGCCCGATTTAATTTCCCACACGCGATCCATATTTATTTCAATATTGTATTTTGTTTCCTTGAATGTAATAGTTTAATAGGACTTTACATATTTTTACCGCTTTATTTATTTTCCGCATTTTAATTTCAAGGGTTGCTTTTGGCGATGTAAATACCCGACGCCTTGTAATAGTTAGTTTAAATTCCACAACTTATAAACTGTTAGATGTTTGGTAATAGGGAATGCATGACAAGATTAATCGTTCAAAGCCTAAAATCAACATA